GTTCACTATTTTTCAAAATAAAGTGGGGGATTTCTTAAATGTTTGTGGACAACAGAAACAAAGTATAGAGCTTGACACAAAGTAGGCAAAGGACCCATGGGGGTACTCTGGATTTCAAGTGATGGGGATGATCGAATGGGGGCAAAATTCAAATCCCCCAAAAATCCCTGGACCAAAAATTAACCCCCCAAAAATCCCATGCCGAATTGTTTCTACTTTTTATGCACAACTACTACTCAGCTGTGATAAGCAGGCACTACCACCAAATCTTCAGATTGTTTGAAGAATGTACTTTACAGTAGAAACTATAAATAGGAGGAGATGGGAACAAGTAACTAACTTTGTTCTAAAAGATAATCGAATTATTTTATATTTTACTCATCCTGGTTACTCATGGGAATTTCTAAACAGTAATTTTAGCAATTATAAATGCTTTGTTGCCTAGAAAACTATTTTGTTTTCCATCCTTTTTACTTTGTTCCATGTTTTGATAAAGAAAAAAAAAGAAATAGGTGCAACATGCTACATCACATGATGTCACGGCATGTTAAGCGCACTGAAAATAACAAAATTACCATATTCTTTTGAGTTCTAAAGTAGGCATGATTACACCAATCATAAATAAAAAGGCAACAAGGGTTTTACATCCCAGTGCGAAGAAATGAGTTGAATTAGTTTTCTTCAGGATGCATGGCCACTTTCATGATTCAGACAATCAGAGACAAAATTGTTGAGACATTGTACTCAAATAGGGTAACTACAGAGTTCAAAAGAATCCACACCTCTCCCCCTCATCTTCACTCAAAGTTGGGGTGTTTGTTGTTTTCTATAGGTAGCTCGAACAGCAGCACAAGATTGCATGGAGGGGATGGGGGAGGAAAACCTTTATTTTCTCCTCTGGAAGGCAGTAAAGTGTCAGAAAGCCCCTTTAGGGCAAAGTGTCTCAACTAATATTGTTGTTGATTGTAAGTCTTCATTGTGGAGTTTATCCCACGATTACATCTACCCTAGATGAAACTTTTTTACACCCTGACACTGAAAAGAATCCATGCCCATCGGGAAAATATTCCATCTGATCTGCAATCTCCGAGACTAAAGCTTCTCTAACATGAAATCCTTTCATGATTAAGTCTCTTCTTATGCACTGTTTAACATGTGTTCTCTCTAATGGTAGAAATGGAACTAAATGATCAATAACGTCTGATTTTAAAAGGTCAGCAAACCATGCATCAGGAGTTTGTTTGATCATGCCTTGAAAGATAAGTTCCATTTCTTTTAGCATCAAAGATTGCCTTAGTTTCCCATCAAGTGCATGCTTCAAGACATGCTGATTTACAGCATGACCGCCAGAATTGGACAGGAATATAAACACCATGTTTTGATAACCTGCTGCGACTTCCTTACCACGGAAACCTAAGATGATATCTTTAATGGTACTCATCATGCCAAGATGAATTTTATCCATTTCGTCAAAGATAAACAAGCCACCTTTACTGCACTGAGATATGTTGCCTTGAATCCAACTGCGCAACTGTTCATTGTACTTGTCAATCTCAGAATCATGCGGGAAATGAACAGGAACAATAAACTTGTGAACGAATGAGCTGTGAGTCTTGTGCTTGAAGAAATGCTCTGTGATTATGCTGGTAACAAAGTTTTTTCCAACTCCAGTCCATCCATGGAAGGAGAGTACTAGGGGCTTTCTTGCATTGTATTTGGCAAAGTGATTCTTCAGGGCTGAGGTCACCACCTTCTGGGCAATGTGTTGACCGTATACTTCAGCCTTGAGAGCTAGGCCAATCCCTGAAATATTCTTGCTAAATTCACTATCTAGGCAAAAGCCATGAGGATTTTTGTGCAAGTAAATTGATAACAACAATACAAATAATGCAAAAAGTACGCCCATTTTCATGTTTTTTTTATAATAATTACTCTTGAGCGAAACTTCCTCACCAGCTTGAATAACCTGTTGTGATTTTTCCCCAGTTACTTCAACACTTTTTTGTCCTGCTGAATCGCTGTCTTCTTCATCATCACTGTGCGCACGCATTATCCCTCCTTGGATGAGGAGAGCAGAAGACAATCAGTGGATAGCAATTTTAATTTTCGTGCATTTTGATTGGCTCCCGTAACTCGTATGTAGTATCCTTTTAAAACGGGAGTCAATATGGTGTCCTGTTTCGCGACCGGATGACGACGACATTTTTACAGCTTATTACAGCGAGGAATGTCACCTTTGTGATACACGTATCAAGGAAAAAGAGTGGAAAACATCAGTATCGAGTCGGTTTCATGTATTTTATACGCAGAGTTCTTGCTTTACGTTTTTTCCTCTCCAGTTAGTCTAACTTTATCCCCTAAGTGCTATTTCAAGTTTTATTTTGTTCCAATTTGATTCATCATTTCATAGTCATGAATAACGCGTTTGATTTACGCGTCTAACATTTTTTAAAATCTTGGAAATGTAATTGAAGATGTCCATGTCAGATAAGTGGAAAGGATCTCGAAACTTTAAATTACTGATTTCGTTTATTTTGCACCTTTCAATTCTCCGATTTCAGTTTTTATTTCAAGAATTACTTGGGAATCATTTTAGGGGCAGCACGGAAAAAACAGGAAGATCATTTTAGGGATGTAGATCATTTCCGGGCCTCTACTCTACAGAAATCTGCTTCGAAATTCTTCTGCTATTTTTATGAATACTGTTCTCCACTTTTGTTTTCAACGTGCTTCTTGTTTCCCGGCGAAGAATCGTTCTGTATTTTTCTTGCCTTTACTTAACAAAAACGTACAATCGACATGCAGGATATAGCGTGCAAGAAGCAAATCAAAGGCACCTTTCTCACTTGGTGCTAGGGAACGGTGCCCTTTTCAGTCAAGTACCCACTCTAGAACTTAGGCACAAAAGTGGGCACCTGGTCCCTGTGTGCACACCTTTTTTGTTAGTTCCGGGGAAGTCCTGCACTGCTTTGTACACGCTGCTAAGCTCATGTTTCAAAATGGCCTTAAACAGGGTGTAATGGAGTAGCTGGAGTACTCAAGGTGCGAACACTACACTTTTTTTGCCTATAGCCTGCGTAGCTGGCGGTATCGTGTGCGGTGCGAGATTAAAGTTTTGGCGGCGGAGCCGTGTTCCAAAAAAAGGGAGTAAGGACAAGGCGGTTGAAATTCTCGCGGCTCCGCCGTCAAATCTCACTCGACTATATTACAACGGCTTCGCCGGCCGCCAAATCTCACTCGAGTACTTCACAATACCGCCAGCTACGCAGGCTATTTTTTGCCGTTACCCAGGCACTAGTTCCCGCACAAGTGTGGACTGCCCTAAAGAAAGCCGAATCAATTTTGTTTTGCTTTCTTTCAAACTCTTTGTTCGACAGATTTTCCTTATTTTAATCTTCTATCACTTTCGCTTACCTTTCTCAAGGTCTTCCTTAAACCATTTGGCTATTTGCAGCTCTTCCTCGTATGAGATCTCTCTGAAGTCTTCTTTCTCCATTCCCGCCTCTCAAGAACAGTATCTGTTGCGGCAAACAAAGCAAAAGAATGCCGTTTTTATGCTGCCAGAGACGTTAAAGCCGTCTTAGGACGACTTTTTGCCTAGTCCCTAGGCCTCATTTTTCCTCGCGGCCAAAGCGTTTCGGGTCACGTGATCCATGCGAAAATGTGAGCCCGTACGCCAATGCGTCTGATATAAAAGCGGGACGCCATCAACTGGGACGCATTTAGGCCCAACTCGTCCAGAGGCTACCGGGTAGAGCAAGAGTTGTATATTTTTTTTACAGAAAAACTGTGGTTTTTTTCACAATGTTATCTTTTACTTTTATGCTTGCCGTTTTGGTACCAGTCGACTTAAATGTCTCAACTTTAAATACGTCTGGACGAGATTATACCCTGGACGACTAGCATAAAAAACCGGGCCAGTACTAAAGCAAACTAAGGACATGCTTGTGAGAACTCACGCTAAAAATGCTGCATTAAGGTGGCTCGATAAAGTTTTTCAGGGTCAATACCTCCCAAGTTTAACCATAAACTACGTCGCTATAAACAAAGATTTGGAAAAATTGCCACCACAGTCGTATTAGATAAAGATGAAGATTTGTTACGATAGGGTTGCGATGAAATGGCAACGAAATGACGCCATTACCTATTTTAGTTGCAGCGGTATTTCTCGGCAATGGATCCGTTGTTCCAAAATCTTTCACGAGAACTTTTTCCTTCAATAGCCGCCTCGATGTTAGTGAAGTTTAAGCGAAATCTGTTATAACGTTATCCATCCTCGGAGGACGCTAATGATCTTCATTAAACCACTGCATAACAACTGGCCATGCTGTATTATCTAGCAAGCCACCTTTCAACTCTTGGAGAGCATCAAACAATCTTGAGTCCTTTTTATATTTAGAAACCAGCAAATCCAAAAATGGTTGCCCCTCCCCCCCCACTATGCTCGATGTAATTTTCGTTGGAAATTTTCCACAGCCCCCACTAAATCATAGTAGGGAAAAAGAGTGACCCCCACCCCCCTCAAAATCATCATAGCCCACCCTCTAGGTAAATTATGAATGCTCCCTTAGCACGTTATATTGTCCATGCAGTTTCGATCCGGAAATATACTGAGGTTGTGGCATGCAAGGTCATGCAATCTTCATCGGGGATAACGCGCGTCCTGGTGTCAGAAGGCAGCAGGGTGTAAGGAGCTAGCTCATTACGCCCTGGAAGGCAGTCAGTGGGACAACTACGTTGGTATTTAGTCACAAGACTGACTAGCCTCCCACGCAGTCGTTCTTGGGGGTTCACGCGATCCTAACGTCTGCGTGGGAGTCTAAAGACTGACAAGACGCTACGCAGTTTTATATCTCAGTTTTTTGGTAGAATATTTAGAGTTTTCATTTTTTTCCTCAGGTAAATGAGGTAACCCGCCTGTCCATATAATCTCTCATTTTAATATGATCACGTTTACATGATAGGTGGGGTGACCCGCCACATGTTACCTCACCTACCCAGGGTCCCCCACCTTCACGTAAAGGCCTAAGTTTTATTCAGTTGACGTCAGGCAGACGCGTTGGTTGTCAAGAAAAAACGCAATTTCCTCCGCAGGAATCATATACGTACTGCAACAAAATTTGTTTGTCCACCAGCAGGGCTGTCCTGTCATGTGGTTGAAAAAGAGCAATAAAATTGAGTGAGCCACATAAGTGTTAAGCTCCAGGGCAGTGGAGTGGTGGGGGGTTCACCCTGAAAAATTTGATAATTTCAATGAAGCGACGCCGCACCCCTACGTAAAAAATGCCTGTCAAGTTAACCCTTCAGAGTGAAAGTTTATGAGACAATCAAGAAACTAGCCTTCCACAAAGGTGTTTTTAGGGGAGTTTGTATTTCAGCAGGAGGCCATCAAGAAACAGGGTGGTGAGTAATGTTGCAATTCCTCCAACCTTTCTTTTCAACCAGGGGCTTCACATTATCAGGTGCATTGATCTCCTGGAGAAAAAAAATTAGGAGTCTAAAGCTGGATCATAATTTCAGAACTTTAAGGATTATAGAAAAACGGAATTTGACTGAATTTTTTTGTTCACTATTTTTCAAAATAAAGTGGGGGATTTCTTAAATGTTTGTGGACAACAGAAACAAAGTATAGAGCTTGACACAAAGTAGGCAAAGGACCCATGGGGGTACTCTGGATTTCAAGTGATGGGGATGATCGAATGGGGGCAAAATTCAAATCCCCCAAAAATCCCTGGACCAAAAATTAACCCCCCAAAAATCCCATGCTGAATTGTTTCTACTTTTTATGCAGAACTACTACTCAGCTGTGATAAGCAGGCACTACCACCAAATCTTCAGATTGTTTGAAGAATGTAGTTTACAGTAGAAACTATAAATAGGAGGAGATTGGGAACGAGTAACTAACTTTGTTCTAAAAGATAATCGAATTATTTTATATTTTACTCATCCTGGTTACTCATGGGAATTTCTAAACAGCAATTTTAGCAATTGTAACTGCTTTGTTGCCTAGAAAACTATTTTGTTTTTCATCCTTTTTACTTTGTTCCTTGTTTTGATAAAGAAAAAAAAAATGAAATAGGTGCAACATGCTACACCACATGATGTCAAGGCATGTTAAGGGCACTGAAAATAACAAAATCGCCATATTCTTATGAGTTCTAAAATAGGCATGATTACACCAATCATAAAGAAAAAGGCAACAAGGGTTTTACATCCCAGTGCAAAGAGATGAGTTCAATTAGTTTTCTTTAGGATGTATGGCCACTTTCATGATTCAGACAATCGGAGACAAAATTGTTGAGACATTGTACTCAAATAGGGTAACCACAGAGTTCAAAAGAATCCACACCTCTCCCCCTTATCTTCACTCAAAGTTGGGGTGTTTGTTGTTTTCTATAGGTAGCTCGAACAGCAGCACAAGATTGCATGGAGGGGATGGGGGAGGAAAAGCTTTATTTTCCCCTCTGGAAAGCAGTAAAGTGTCAGAAAGCCCCTTTAGGGCAAAGTGTCTTAACTAATATTGTTGCTGATTGTAAGTCTTCATTGTGGAGTTTATCCCACGATTACATCTACCCTAGATGAAACTTTTTTACACCCTGACACTGAAAAGAATCCATGCCCATCGGGAAAATATTCCATCTGATCCGCAATCTCCGAGACTAAAGCTTCTCTAACATGAAATCCTTTCATGATTAAGTCTCTTCTTATGCACTGTTTAACATGTGTTCTCTCTAATGGTAGAAATGGAACTAAATGATCAATAACGTCTGATTTTAAAAGGTCAGCAAACCATGCATCAGGAGTTTGTTTGATCATGCCTTGAAAGATAAGTTCCATTTCTTTTAGCATCAAAGATTGCCTTAGTTTCCCATCAAGTGCATGCTTCAAGACATGCTGATTTACAGCATGACCGCCAGAATTGGACAGGAATATAAACACCATGTTTTGATAACCTGCTGCGACTTCCTTACCACGGAAACCTAAGATGATATCTTTAATGGTACTCATCATGCCAAGATGAATTTTATCCATTTCGTCAAAGATAAACAAGCCACCTTTACTGCACTGAGATATGTTGCCTTGAATCCAACTGCGCAACTGTTCATTGTACTTGTCAATCTCAGAATCATGCGGGAAATGAACAGGAACAATAAACTTGTGAACGAATGAGCTGTGGGTCTTGTGCTTGAAGAAATGCTCTGTGATTATGCTGGTAACAAAGTTTTTTCCAACTCCAGTCCATCCATGGAAGGAGAGTACTAGAGGCTTTCTGGTATTGTGTTTGGTAAAGTGATTCTTCAGGGCTGAGGTCACCACCTTCTGGGCAATGTGTTGACCGTATACTTCAGCCTTGAGAGCTAGGCCAATTCCTGAAATATTCTTGCTAAATTCACTATCTAGGCAAAAGCCATGAGGATTTTTGTGCAAGTAAATTGATAACAATATTACAAATAATGCAAAAAGTACGCCCATTTTCATGTATCTCTTATAATAATTACTCTTCAACGAAACTTCCTCACCACCTTGAATAGCCTGTTGTGATTTTTCCCCCGTTACTTCAACACTTTTTTGTCCTGCTGAATCGCTGTCTTCTTCATCATCACTGAATGATAGCACAGATCTTTTCCTTGAAACATATTTCTTCAATGAAAAATGAACCTGATCTTGCTTCTTTGAGTCACTGTCCTCATCATCACTAAAAGTTAACACAGATTTTTTGTTTGAAACTCTCCTCTTAAAAGGTGAATGATTCTGGCTGGCTGCTGTTAGTGCCATGATACTCTCATCTTTCTGACAGCTATCTTTGTAAGTTGCCTTGTCGCTATAATTTGTTATTCTGCCAGTTGAAGTCGCTTTGCCTGAAGTCAAGTCAATGACTTCAATGACTTTTGGTGTGAAATTTCTATCTGTTCCATCGCTTGGGTCAAGCTCATCATGCCAGCCCTGATGACAGGTATCATGCCGTTGGTCAAAGTTGAGTTGATCATCTGGGCAGCTAAACAATCTCACTTTCCCAGCTGATGCTGGAGTCGAAAAAGTATTTGCTGGTGAGTTACGCTGCACAGTGCTGACAAAGTTCAAATCTCGGTTCTCACCGATTTGACCAGTTTTTCCAGGAACACCATGTCTGTCAGACAGACCCATAAAGCTGTCATTGGTACAACTGAAAATAGGACAAGACACATGCCTTGATAAAGGACTGCGGAAAGTACTCTTCTTGGGGCTTTTATTTGCTTCTTTTGCTTCTCGAATATGCCTTGCCATAACGTTTTTAGACAGGTCAACATCTTTAAGACCAAGAGCACGAGGGCGCTTCCCAATCACGAGGGAAGTTGATACGCGAAGGCTAGTAGCTTCGCATTGTGCCGTCAAAGTGCCTTCCTGAGTCAAACTGTTACCTCTAGGATGCAAAACCAAGCTTTTAGACGACGATGAAGGTAAATAGGAAGAGTTTTCAGGCCACGGAACAAGAGGAGATGACTCAAGAGAACTCAATCCCGAGCTTGAATCACTATAGATGGTAATTGCTTTTGACGCGTGATTTTCTTCGTCGGAATCAAAGCTCGGTTCGAGGTCACTTTCTTGGCTTCTTGGGCTCCACTGTTCTTCTCTTTTTTCCCGATACCATGACGCATTTGGGGAAGAAAAGCTTGCAAAAAGACTCGAATGATTAGACATGATCACTCATTGATTTTTAACGTTGAAAAAGATATGTTGCCGCTGGAAATGAGGAGAGGGACTAGGGCGGGTAATTTTCTAGAATTGTGATTGGTCGATTGGTGGAGATTGGTTGGTTGATTGGTTTTGATTGGTTGTAATGTTATCTTGAACCCAGGGCATTCGCAACTCTTCATAACAATGTATGCTGTGTGTGTAGAGTGTTGGGAAATAACATCATCATCATTCTGATAATTTAAAGATCAGAAATGTAAGACAAAAATACTGTAATAATAAAAAGAAAAATAAAAGTCAGAAATAACTTCCAATAAGGTTAAGTTTAGGGTAGACCATAGAAGAAGAAGGTTGATGTGGGGCAGAGAAAATTAGTGAAAGAAAGTGTGTCACCCATAACAATAAGTTAATGACTTGGAATTATTAGAGTGGCAGTTCTTTGTGTCTCTGTCTGGGCCATCTTGGCTGATGGGGAAATTCGTGAAATTGAAAGATGAGTTCCTGTAGGATAATTTACAGTCAACTCTCTCCAAGACGGACACCTTTGAGACCGGAACTAAGTGTCCGTCTTAGAGAGATGTCTGTCTTATAAAGAGTCAAATAAAGGGAATAAGAAAAGGCAGGGACCAACTCTGGGTGTCCGTTTACAGAGGTGTCCCGTCTTATAGAGGTGTCCGTTAAGAGAGAGTCGACTGTATTGACAAAAAAATTAGGGTCTTTTTATTCTGGAGACATGAAGACATGTCCACTAGAATCATCCATTTGTCTGTCAATTTGCTTGGCAAGAACAAGACTGACAAACACTTTAAGACCCACCAATAGTTATTTCTCATTTGTGTGTATCTGGATCATAATTTTTGTCCAAAGTAGTATTTACTGGTTGGTTATGTTGTACATAGTTTTCATGGTAAATGATAGTATAGTTATATTTTTAAAACAGAAAATTCCTGATTTTGGAAACTTTTACTATCATGCAAATTTTTGGGTGTTTCTTTCTTTTAGTTTTTTTTTTTGGTGTGTTGTTGTTCGCTTTTGTGGTGTGGGAATGATTACTCAGTTTTTTTCAATCTTTTGCATAATTTTACATCATTTTGTGGGGATTTGTACCCTTCTGCAACACCTAGAAACTGCCAATTTTTTTAAGAAATATCATTTTCCTGTTATACAGACTCAGAGCACAACGTTTTGTGGAACGTCTCAATCGTGTCTTCCCCAGATGCATCATTTAGCTTTTCTACCATGTAACTGCATCCATAATGCAACCAATCTAATCTTTCCTGAGTGAAAAACCAGCACCTCTTAGTAATTGAAATTTCATCTGGAATACACTGACACATTAAACTGAGTTTTTAAGAACTCCTAAGTGCTTCATGGGAGAACAATTTACAATTTTTTTACTGTTCAGGCTCCTGCACAGGTTTAGTTCTGGTCGTCCCAGTTAATGATCCTGTTGGTGAATGCTAGCTAGAGGCTTAGAACCAAACAGGGGCACCCAACGTCAATTTTCGGAAAATATCTGTTGGGAAGACAATTTGAGATCTACAATTTTCGGAACATTTGTTGTAAATTTCTTGTTGCCTGCCTCTCCATTTTTAACAGATTTTTAACCTAAAAAGGTCACCTAGAATTTTCGGAAGCCTTTTTTCTGGCTGAAATTTTCGAAAAAGTATGTTTTGATCCCTATAATTTTTGGATCGCTAGACTTTCAGCTAGGAAATCCGAACAGATGAAAATTTTTTAGGGGTTACAATTATGCCTATATCTGCCGTTTAAATACTAAAATACGTTTAACAATGCTATGTTTAAGTGGTTTTGAACTATATTCTCGTTGGATGCCCCCGAAGCAATTAATAGTTTCTGTCTTGATCTGTTAGCTTGGGACTCACATACTGTAAATATCAACGACAGTCCTTGAAAGTTTGTAAATGTACCCTGGTTTATGTGTTTATGGATTCCACGCACATGTAAAAGATATAAACAATTGATTATAGTCTTAAACAGTTTCCAGAGAGGAAAAGTTTGTTAATGTACAGTGTAAAATAATATCATTGCTGTGTAGACAGCTACAATATTATTGCTGAACTTGTTTATGAACATGAACAGAAATGTGATTAGACATGGAGAAATGGATGAAACTGAAGGCAGAAGAATGACTATGACTACTACGTTTTTCAAAGTTCTAGTAGTGGGATGAGATCCCTTATTACATGCTTGGGATCAACGTGATCTTCACTAAAATCCCTGCAAAGGCGGTCAACAATTAAAGATTTCAACCCCAACTTTACGGCTGGTTTGTAATCAAGTTGGACATTGTCGCCCACATGAAGAGTTTCTTCGGGCTTTACACCAAAGTGAGACAGTACTAACTCAAATATACCGGGGGATGGCTTGCATATTCCAACATCAAACGAACAAGCGATGAAATCAAAGTAATTTTTCAAGTCAAGTTTCTCTAGTATGATATCGAGGCGTTCGTCAAAGTTTGAAATGACGGCAAGACGATAGTTTCTATTCTTAAGATGTTCCAAAACATCGAATGTTTCGGGATAAACCTCCCAAGGTGAAGCAGTGGAGAATTCTCGGTACAATGTCGAGGAAATTCCGGCGAGAATCTTTTCATCGTTGAATCCAGCGGATCGAAAGGTTTGTTTGACCACTCTAGACCACCATTTTTCTGCAGTCTTTTCAGTTTTTGCACCGAAGTTTGGCACTGTTTTGTAAAATTGTCGGAAAGAATGTGTGAAGGATTCGTTCAGAGCTGTATCCTGTACTGTGACCCCAAACCGAGAGGCCACGTTACTGTACACTTCTCCTGGTGATCCTCGAACACGAAATAGTGTGTTACAAGCATCAAACGTTATTAACCGCAACATGAGGGGAATAAGGAACCATCAAAGTATAGACATGCACGACGTCAGACGATCAACCGGCGACGCCATGTTTTGTTCGGTTGTGAAAGCCTGGACTCGAAATGTCACTTGTGTCGTCATCGTTCGTTATCGTTGCATTAAAAAGTGTCGTCATGGTAACGATGAGTGTACCACATGGCCACTGTAAATTCCAAAATTTTGTGCTGAATTTCCAAAGCCATTTGCAATTTTAGCTTTTATTTATTTTTTTTTTTAAGTTTATAATTTGTTTTTCATGAATATTTTCTGGTCTTAAATTCTCCAATTAGGTTTTCTTGAATTCGTGATCGACCTTCCGTGTGTTGCCTCAACGCCCGGTCTTTTCCTGCATTTCTGTTGATATGTTGTTGGCTTCCTGTATTTAGTCTTTTTCATTCCGTAAAAATCTTGCCTCGTTTGAATTTTCGCATTTTGCATTCTGTAATTTTGTTGCCTCGTTTCATGTTCCTTGTTTTTTTATATATTCCGTCTTTTGCCCCATGGGGTGAGAATTTTTGGTACAAACCTACATCGATTCGAGAAATTTGGTTTGTGATGTCAGCACCATCTTCCGCATAGACTCTGGAAGAAAGGGACATACCAAAAATCTTTCCTTGGAGGGAAATTGCGCGCTTTTTGTGGGCTGCATCTTATTGCTAAATGAAGTTGCTTTATCTATGTTACCTCAGATTTGTTCTGTCGAATGTCCATACTCTATCTTTGTCTTTTTTTAAAAAAAAAGTTGCCTCGATTTAAAGTCTGGTGCAGTCATGGCTCAATGGCGGGAAACGGTCACATGAAGACGGTGAAAACGGTTTATCACTGGATTACAAGCTTCTTTATTCCAACACTTTTGTGAAATGTTACATACATAGAGAGATTCCAAAGTGAGGAAGACAGGCTATCAAAAGTTTCACAATAGTTAACTATGAAAAACGAATGAACTGTGAAAGATATAACACTGATATCATAATCTCCAATATTATTGTGCATTAAAAAGCACTCACCCCTGGACAATATTTACTCACAAATGACATAAAATTTTACTCTGCATCTGAACTTTTTTGACTGCAAAACTTTCAGATGGATTCTTGACTCATAGAAGAACAATGATAAAGAATTCAGCTTCAAAAGAGATTGCAACACCTTTGCTGATAATTCATAAAACATTTGCCACATTGTTAGTTCTGTGAATTTTTTTCTACTGAGAGGGAATGAGGAAGTGGCATGCTGCTTCCCACATGAATAATTTACAAATATATTATGAACTGTGCCACTGACTAGCTGTCTTCATACTGATCTTTGTTTTTCAGCAAGTAGGTAGCAAGGTACTCAATGGGATTTGGTGGCCTGAAAAACAGATGTAGAAGTGAAATCCTTGTTAGGTACTTGATGAGACAAAATAACCAAAATCTAAAATATTCATTGTAGAATCAACAAAGTTTTGTTCTTGAACTTCTACAATAATCTTACAGAATTTGAATATAAATAATAAAAGAAAATCACATCCACTGATGTACTGAGCCCTGCCTTAAACAAAAATGTACTGGAAATTTTAAATATTCATTATAATATTTTCAGTGTCACAGGGAACTAAGTTAAGGGAGAAAACCTCAACTGCCAGAACAATAGGCACGCAGAATAATAAGGGTATCATGTGACGTGACCCGCCACTAGGGGAGGTAGGAAGTCACTTCCACTGAACTCCATTGAACTGTCCAAGAGGCAGGCAAAAACCGAGCAATTCTACACAAGGGCTGAAATGCAAAATGCCAACAGTGCACAGGCCCAACACAACAGAATTTACTGGAGTTTCTTATTTCCTGCATCAAAAGCCAAACTGTGTATGAAGTGAGAATAGCAGACATTTATTTGGGTGTTATTTTAGGTCAAATGTCAATACTTGTTTGTTAAATTCAAGTGACATATGCACGCAAAGTAGTCAGTGTCTTGCGGTTGCTTGCACCTTGCATTTATTTCACACCAGTTCCAATTCATGAATGTGCACAGCCAAAAGAGGAGTTATTATTCTTATTATTCTTTTTTGATCTTCTCATTATTTGTCAAACAAATTTATTATTTCTTTTTCTTAAAACTCAAGTCTGAACAAAGCCAATTAAGCCGTCTGCCTAAACCTTCTACATGCTCATAACCACTTTTCATTTGAAAATGGTCCCAAAAAGAAAATTTTACCATTATATATAAAAAAATAATAATCAATATTAGAACTGCTCAGCCAGGTCAGTCTACTCCAATATAGTTTGCACATCACTGACACAGTTTTATGCAGGTTATGTTTGATGTTTGGATGGAGGGAGGGGGGTAGAGAGAAGGTTATAAGTCAAGCATTTGTCTTTTGTACACATTTTTTGGTTAAATTCCCAACCCTTGGGAGACAAAAATAGCTCAAATGTGATAAAATATCCCTTTCTGGGAATAACAAAACTGCAGTTTAACGTAAAATTTGTGGTCAAAATCCCCAGAGAGGGGACAAAGGAAGAGTTGCCACACCTATGCCCGAACACCCCCCTCTGTCTAAACATTGATACACTACATTTACTAGTAAAAACACTTGCATAAGAGCCTGGCATGCCATTTTCAAAGTAACCAGTTTGGAAAGCCACTTTTGAAAAAAGTCAAAAGATAGTTTACCTGTCCTTGGACAAGGAGGAGAGGCCTTGGAGTAGAATAGGTACCACTGTCTGGTCCAGGTATGCTCTTGTTGGCAAAGACTGCAGCTCTACTTTTGGTTTTGTTGGCTTTTCAGCTGCTTCCTTCTCTTTTTCCACCATTTTCTTTGGGTGAATGTAAAAAGAAATAATAGTATTAATTTTGGAAGTAAGGTAACCAAAACTGTCACTACGTTTTTGCAGAAGACAAGGAAGTGGGATGAATAGCCAGGGGCTTTGGCATTTCCTTGTATCATCCACAGACTGTTTCTACCAGTTGTGAAGCCATGCCTCACATTTCTAATAGCCAGGCAAAACGTCTGGCCTGCAGCCCTTAACAAAAGCATTTACAAAAGGCTCGCAAGCCAGAGGTCATCCCAGCTTCAGTATTGTAAGACCCTAGAAATATTACTTCTCTTCCTGGATGAAATGCAAAAGTCATTTGCAGGACTATGGCTAGCCTGCAAGGCAGAGGCTGGTTAGTTTTTTGGGTTATATCTTATTTCTCCCCTTGCGTGTGCCTGTCCTCGATATTTCTCCTTTTTGCCTCCCCCAAAAAAACCACGGTGCCTGCTACCCAGGCTAGACTATGGCTAACTTATCACCAGTAAACTATTATCCTCTGTGCACCTTCATGGATCAGCTGCAGGAGACAAGCATACTATCTTGAAGAAGGAGTCAGCTCCTTCAAATTTTCCTTGAACACATCTCCTATGCACTTCACTCATTAACCCATTCACATATGAACACTTCCTTGTACCACTTGTGATGTCATTCATTTTGATAGCTGTAGACAACTTTGACACCTAACTGGTACAGCAGGATGACCCCTTTCACACCATAACCAAGAATGATTCAGTCAAACAAGCCAGAGAATAAGACACACAAAAAAACACGTAAAGTTGAAAACTGGGTTTGTGGATTTCACTATCCTTTGCAAGGATTTACTTTTTCTACAAGGCAAGGTTGTATATAAGAGCCGGAAGCTGGCGAAGTTCACTGGCTTCTATGCAAGGTTTCACCAGCTACTTTCATTTCTTCAAGAGCCATGATATGACCAGGAAATGATGTTTATCGTTTAAACTTTCCAATAAAAGTACACATTTGCAGTGCCTATCTTTTCTGGGACTGTTCAGCTAGGGACTGTAATGGTCTTGTCTCAGAATATAGGACAAGTTAACAACTCAACATGCTTTTAATCTGCCTTACATACCACATACATATTTTGTCCTCCTGTTCTACTTCATCCCATAATAATCTTGCAATATGTAGAACGATGTCCGGTCCACTACAGGGACTAATAGCTGACCAGTGTCTCCCCAGTAATGGTTCCAGAAACAAGTGCTAGACAAATTATTATTGGCTACAGTTCTGTTCTTGTTTTTAAAGTGGCAAATAGGATGACATTATGAAACTAGCTTACAATGTATAGGAAACGTCACTGTTTACAAACATTGTTTTGGTTACGCAAGTTCGTCATGAGTGAAACAAAAGAACCTTTTTTTTCAAGAACTAATGCCCTTCTAGTTGGCACATTGATATCAATAGGTGACGTCAGCGTGAGTATAGTCAACTCTCTCTTAGTTGGACACCTTTGGGACCGCACTAAGTGTCCATCCAAGAGTGATGTCAAATAATAGGAGTAAGGAAAGGAAGGGACAGACTCTAGGTGTCCATCTCATAGAGGTGTCCATTAAAAGAGAATACACTGTATCACTATTTGCAATCCAGCTGTTTAGTTTGCATGTGATGCGCATGCATTTAATGCAAAAGATGTTGTCAAATTCTGCCATGATATGCAGAATGGATCATGAGCCACACAAGCTCTTCTCTGCTGTGATGCAAAATTCATTAACAACAACCAAACCTCAGACCTTCCCATAAGAAAAAACGGCACAATTGTTAACCACTAGTTACCTGCACATTTTCTGTCAATCCAATTTCAGCATGAGGAGATGTTTCCTGCGGAGCCTGTAACTGTAATTAACATAAAAAGATTAATGAATTGAAAGGATGCCTGAGAATGGTCAAGTGACTGCAATTCTCCAACAAGAGGTTAAGTATGTGTGCAAGGCAAGCTTGTTATGAACCAAGGGGAACACTAGACAAGAGTCGTTTAAAGCCTCTTCCCTTAAAAATGGACCTACAAGGAGACTGAATAAGTTAGCTGCAACAGTCCTCTAAATGTCTTACACCAAAAATCCCTTATTTCAGAATTGTAAATAAAGTAAAAAATAAAAAGGTAATAAGTTCTTAGCTACGTTTTTTGAAAAAAAAACTCAAGATCTGTCTTCTATATAGTACTTGTGCTACAGGCACAAAGCCTTAAACATGAAATTAAAGTAAAGATTAATTGACAGGCCTTTGCATGCAGACTTTCTAACCTCGGAGGGTTGGCTTTGGCTATTTTCCTCTGGAGGAAGCAATGAAACCTGCTCTTGAGGAGCTGGCAAAAAAGTAATAGTTTATAATAATTAGTCTATTACAACAAAGGATCGATACATAACATAAATTAAATATAGTGAAAAATGGGTCAAACCTTCAGTTGAGCTGCCGTCCGCCATGTTTTTCTCTTGTAACCAAGAAGATTCTCGCGAAGCATTTTGGGATACTATTGATCAATAATTTCCTTGGGAGAGTAGGGAAAGGCGACCTGTTCAACCTGTTTGTCGCCTTTTACATTTTCTGACATTTTCTTTAATTTTCAAGGTTTGTATGACATTATTTTTTATCTGGAAAGAGTAAAAATCGTAGTTAGTATCGGATGTCAGAGATTGGTTAGTGTAGGAACAGCATATGTGATCGATACCCCTCCTCGAGGATTTGTATCCAACTTCGGGGATTTTTGCAATGGATGGTTTTTCTTTTAATAACAGTGTTAGTATATAATTTCAATTGCTTACTTTTGAAAGATTACAAAACTTTCAATAGTATATTTCTTGGAACAACTTAACTGACCTATATAGGGTAGGGAGAGGGGTGTTTGTCACCCAGTTGAATCACGTGACGCGGAGATTCAACAAGCGGAGCTCTAGGTGCCAACCATGATGGTGAGATGATTAGCGACAGAACAGCTGAAAATTGCGGAATTTTTAATCAGTTCACGAAAGATAACATTTCTGTTTGTTTAATACTCTTTTTAGGACGCGACGGACAGCGCAGACATGTTGGAAGAGGAGAAAGTGAGTACTGTAATGGGCACTTTTAATCTTCAGTCTGTGTCCTTGTGCGGATGGACGGAGGATAATTTTGTTGTGATTGATCTGACTGTTTGCCTTTCGATTTCAGACGCGTACCCAATCAGTGGATTTAAACACCGATACCTCGCTTATGGTGGATATCTCCGATGCATTAAGCGAAAGGGATAGGGTGAAATTCACTGTTCACACCAAAGTAAGAGCAATAAATCTAATATTACACATGATTCATGATGTAGTTCCCTGTTACTCATTGGTTAGTTTGTCTGATCGCGATGCTCGCTCATTTATTTTGTAGACAACTCTTCGGAACTTTAAGGAAAGCGAATTTTCCGTAGTCAGGGAACACGAGGAGTTTGTCTGGCTCCACGACCGGTATGTGGAAAATGAGGAATATGCTGGAATCATTGTAAGTAAAATCTCTAACATGGACTAGTTATATTAATCAAAGTAAGTTAAGTTTGCATTAAAACAACTAGAGTCATAAAACTTTGTTAATACGCTGTATGTAGTCATATATATATATATTTATTTATTGTAGTGATTGTAAATTGATGGTGTAACCTGACTTTGACTCAAGAACTTTTTTAAATATCCTGTCTGTAAAGAATAATGATAATTATTATACATTGTACTCACTATCTGTCTTCTCATTGGCTAAGAGCCTACAGAAACCTACAGATTAGTTAGTTATCTGCTAGCAGATAATTAACTAATCTGTAGGTTACGCGCGCAATGCATGATTTCCAATAGCAAGATCAATTCAGGTTCCTTGTGATGGTGTGTTTGTCGTCATTTTCTTCAAAACAATGTATAATAAAACAATTATTAGGTACGGTCTTAGTGATATCCTGAATAATCAAGGTCTTGGTGAGTGTTATCAGCCTCAGCTTCAGCTCGGCTGATAACACTTACCTCGACCTTGATTATTCAGGATACCACAAAAACCTCATCCAATAATTGCTTATTATTATCATAATCATAACTACAACAAAGTTCTAAAATCTGACTGGCTATCAACTGCCCTGATTTCAGCCTTAACAGGACACTTTTTTACTTTTTTACTTTTTTTTTACTGCTAGTCAAAAAAAATCTTAGAATTTCTTGTGTTTTGATTTAAAAAAAGAACCTTACATATCACAAAATTTTGCTAAAGTTATGATTAATAAATATTGGTAACAGGAATGAGTCGTCCCATTTTGTTAATCACTCGTATGATTACAGACCGAGTTGGACTCCATTCAGTCTAGTTACCATCACTTATTTAACAATTAATGAATGAGGCTGAATATCACATGAAGAATTGTGGAGATCGAGGAGGGGGTTCCGAAATCTCCATAATTCTTCATATGATATGAAAGCCAAATTCAATAATTGTTTTATTATTCATTCAAAATAATTCCTAGCTTAAAAACAGAGCTAAAACTTGCTTACCTCCATCGATTCATTGATGTTAAGTTCATCTTCGATAGTGCACGTTTAGGGTTGTTCAGCTCTGCAAATATTCTCCAAATAGCAGATGTCACCCTTTGAGTTGTCTTCTTGCTGTTCTTGCCATGTTTTTAGCTATTATTTCACCTAGTTCTTACTCTTGAAACGAGTGAAATGTCCGGCATATTTGTTTCCACAACCAAAACAACTCAACCTCATTCTCAGGTCTTCTCTGTTAACTTTGCCTCAACCTGTAGAAGGCTGCATTTTTGACGTCATTTCCTCGTTAAACACCAAATTCTTCTCCAAATTTGGTCATCAGCAACTGGTTATCCAATCAGAATAGGGGAAATATTTGGAATGAATAATGATAATACTTAATTTATCCTCTCCCTGTAAGGGGCTGTCAGGATAATGAAACAAATAATATTGGAAAAAAACATTATTAAGGCAGAGAATCCCAACTGACTGGAGGCAAAGTAGTTGACTATTTACAAGCGTGACCTAGGACTAAAGTGTACCAAGAACAAATCTAGTTAACAGTCAGGGCTGGACTTTAATAACTCAGTGCTTCTTGATTGCAAGCGCTCTAACCAGTCAGCCATGCTACCTTCCTTAGTCTGGCCTGCGTCATGGATGTGTAACATCTGTGAAGCAGCTTGGATGTCCCTGTTCTGGGCCACGAGAAGACTTAGTAAATTACTGGAAATGCATTCAACCTGATTGGCAAATTAACAATGGTTTTTTTAACGGGCCAATTATGGCGTGTACTCAAATCCTGGTACACAGGTACAATGGTGGCCCAGAATGAGGAATGCCGTGCTGTTTCGCAGACGGACTTAACCAGAAGTTTTGTTCTTTCTGTGGCCCAGACCACCCTTAGTAAGGAATGGATAGATAAGATAGATAAGTTCGCTGATAAGAACTTTCCTGCAAGTGTGATCCTATGATTTGCCAAGAACCAAGCAGTCATGAATACTGCAGTCAGCAGTTGATAGTGTAATTGTTTTAGACTTGTACTTACTTTTTATTTCCAGTTTTCTTAATAAATTTTAGTTAATATTAAATATTAAAATTTTTATTATTAAGTCTTCATTTCTGTCAGTTGCTGTTGTATGAAATCCAATTTTATGCTATCCAATATGGCTTGTCGTAAAACTCTGCAAACCCAATATGGAATTTTTCTTTGTCTTTGGCCAGAGCAGTAATAGGTTATGATTCTGTCATTCTTGAGATGATTTGGTTACTGGATTTGCATATCTACCTCAATGTTTTTAACAAGTTGTGACTTGTTCATTCTTTAGATTCCCCCAGCTCCACCCAGACCAGATTTTGATGTGTCTCGTGAAAAGCTTCAAAAACTTGGAGAAGGTACCTGTACCATTTGTTTGAGCTTTTACATTTCAAGATGAGCACCATGTTTAGGTAGCTGTCAATGGTAAATTAGGAAAAGTGACTGTTTAACTCAGAATCAGTCTAGCTATTCACCATCAGGCTTGTCAAAAGTAGTTGGCTGCCGGCGAAAATCACCGCCTGCTTGGTTAATATCGGCAGGCTACTCTGCTTAGAATATTTGTGACCTCTCACGCGAAAACGTACACTAACGGCTTTCCGTTAAACAGGTGAAACGCGCGGCTGTCGAACGGGTAAGAAACGGCCCACGAAGCCGTTTGAAATGGATGAAACCGAACGGTTGAACGGCTGACAATTTATTCCGAACGGATTGGTATGACGGCTGAACAGCTGGCGAAAAATTTCGAACGGATGGTAATCACGTCTGAACGGCTAAAAAAATTTTCGAACGGTAGACCTGAACGGCTGAACGGCAGGAGTAAAAATTTTTTATGGATGACGTTTTTTAAATTAAATATCCCTGGACTGGCCACTTACTTTGATAACTCGGCTGTCTACTTCAAACTTTCTGACAACCCTGAGCATGTGTTTTCTTTATTTCAGGTGAAAACACCATGACAAAAGAGGAGTTCCAGAAAATGAAGCAAGAACTAGAAGCGTAAGTGTGATATTTTTTGTTTGTTATGATTGATGTCATCATGCCTATTTTAGAATAGTTAGAATAAAGTGATTTTGTTATTTTCAGTGCATGCTTAACATACCTTGACGTCTTGCAATGTGGTGCGTTGAGCGCAAATTCTTATTCTTTCCTTTATTGAAACAAGGAACAAAGTAAAGAGGACAGAAAAACAAAATAGTTTTCTAGGCAACAAGGCAGTTATAATCACTAAAATTGCTGTTTGTTAGAAATTGCCATGAGGAACCACAAGTAACCATGAGTAACCAAGATGAGTATGATAATACATAGATTTACCCAGGGCTAAAAGTGAAGCCCTGGTTAATAATACTTATAAACAAAAAGAATTACATTGTGTAATGTTAAACGGGAACAGCAATGAAAATGGCATCAAGATCAATAGATCTAATTAGCAAAAAAACAAATTTGCACGTGCAGCACACATTTTTGTCTTTCTTTGCCATTGTTTTGCACGACTACAATGCTGTTTTGTACGACTAATACATAAAACCTCCTAGTTAAACATTATTGTTATGGAGGAATTGCCATATGTGCTTACCCAATATTTTGTTTCCTGAGTTCATGTTTGCTTTTATTTTTCACTGGCCCTCATTTACACCTTGCTGGCTGCTCCTTGTTGAACACTCCCTGCTGGCCGCTAGCATTTCTCATTCTCTCACCGCGGCTTTGAATTTTCATGTTTTTCTTCCTATGAAATTCGTCTCCTTTGTTTTGAGTCACTAGCTCTAGCTCTGTCTCTGTTATCCACGTGAGTGTAAACATCATATAATATCTTGCCAGTTCTCTATGAGCTTCATTGTTTGCCAGTGTTTTATTGTATCTACTTTAAAATTTTAATAAATTTTGATAAAAATTTTATTTTTACTTTTAAGGCCATACATGGCATGTCACCTAGCATTAGGTCCCCTTCTGCATATTCATTCCGATTGCATTGCTCTATTGTTTTGGAATGTCCTAAGGGGTGCATGCATGCAACTTTAGGCGCAAGATCGTTTTCCATTGCTGCCCCTACTGTGTGGAACGGCTTTCCCATGCATATCTGTGATATTGAATCACTGGGGCCTTTTGAGAGACATGTAAAGACATATCTGTTGAGATTAACTTTTGCACTGTTTTATAATATTGCAAATTTTATTTTCATTTTATTTAGTTTTTTTTATTGTATGTTTATCTTTTTTTTTACCTTTTTATCGGTTTTACCTAGCATAGATTCATCTTGTAAATTTTAACCAGTATATGGACAATGTAATGTGCTTTTGGTGCTGTAGCCAATTTATAAATTATTGTTATTATTATATTATTATGATCAATAATTATTCTTTCTTTCAGGGAGTATCTTGCTACTTTTAAGAAAACTGTAGCCATGCATGAAGTCTTCTTGACACGCTTAGCTGCTCATCCTACCCTGCGAAAGGACAGCAATTTTAATGTCTTTTTGGAATTTAAAGGAGAGGTATGTACCTTTCATTGTGTAGCATTAAGTACAGGGCAAAAACTTCCTCTGAGAAAAACATAGGTAGCTGCCCAACTCAGTTAAGGCTTCTTTAAACTTTTAGTAAACTGCTCTTCTTATAAAATTAGTTACCTTCAACTGACACTCTCATCTTGAATTTTACTGTGGTTTGTTAGCTTGCTGTAGGTGAACATGCACATAAAATTTAACCCGAATTTGACAAATTGCCTGTGAAAAAAAACTCTGACAGCATGTGTAGCTTTATTATCATCATGGAGCTTTCTGCCATGAAAAAAAATCCTGTAAAATGCAAGGTAAAATTTAAGAAAATCTGCTTGATTTCATTTTGTTTGAGGTATCTGCTAGAGAAATTGTGCCATTACCAAGCATATTTTGTACATGGACAAATGTTTTTTTCTCTGTGATGATTTGCTTGTTAAAGCATGTGTGAGTAAGTCAGTACGGAAGGCTTTAGAAGAGGATTAGAAGCAAGGGGATCTTTCTGAACAGAGGTTTGATTGAGTAAGAGTCAATGAAGATGGTGATCTTTCCGGGCTGTCATTAAGGTTCTAAAAAGTTGGCCTCAAGTAGGGAAAGTAGCTAATATAGTAATTGGACAAATCCTCAAAAGATAAAAAGATATTTGTTGTGCTCATTTTAAAACTGAACCATTAGCTGGTAGATTTTACTGCAGTTGCTGGCCACTAATGGCAGCCCGGTTGAAGGATGTGTGACTTTTGTGACATGTGTGGTCATTATTTTAATTATATCTCTTACTCAAGCTCAATGTACGGGGCAAAAACAAGAAGGAAAAGCTTGGAGGGCTCTTTAAAGGCCTTGCTAAGGGTGTGGATGAAGTCCTTATATCTGGACAAAAGGTAAATCTTGAGTCAACCTATGTATAGTTAAATATTGTTGACATATCCATGTGGTACTGTGCGTTTAAAGGCAAAAGGTATGACAATGATCTTATTCTCTATGAGCATGACATTGAGGTTTATTATTTCCTTTTTCAGAGGTTCAAAATATGAGACAGATTTTTTTAGCTTGCATTTAGTTTTACTGCAGCTTCTTTGTGGTAATTGCTATTTTGAAAAAGTAATCGAAAGTAACTAAAAAGTATTTTTGATTTATTTTAAAAAGACAAAGACATCCCAGCAGTATTTTGATATCATTGTTTTGAACTAGTTCTGTGTCCTCACCATAAACATCTCTTGGTGACTTACGAGCTTGCTTAGGATGATGCCGTAAGAAATTGCATTAGTATTAATTGTCAAAACATCAATAAATTAAGTTGTTTGTATCCTGTTGCTAAACGACAGACTGAACTTAATTCTTTATATATAAAAAGAAAAATGCTTGGGCGATTGTATAATAAAGTTATTTGAAAAAAGAGAAAGTTCCTTAGCTATTTGCTGGTGGTAAAATTATTTGTAATTAAATTTATTATTAGCAATCACCTTTAAATAATTATTTGTTTGTTTATATAGTTAAAGGTTTGACCGTTTATGTTATTAGATCCAAACTGTCAGATTATCAAAAACTTATTTCTCGAGTTTGTTTAATGTTTTTTAAATTAGCCAATTGTACATTTGCATCATTTACTTTTGTGTATTAATAATAATTATTAATACACAAAAGTAAATGATGCAAATGGGTGTAACTATTTTTTCAGGACCATGATGAGTTTTTTGAGAATGAGAAGAAGTTTTTAGTTGAATACAACATGAAGTAAGTTTTACCTGAGAGTTGAAGCTATCAAGTTTACTTTTGTTCTGTTTTTGTTGTAGTTATGAATTCCGTTAAAGGGGCTATGTAACAGTATTTGTTATCTTTTTGAAAAGCTGAAATGTGTCTTTGCATCAGTTGGATTACAAAACATACCAGTCCAGTTTTGTTATGTGAGACTATAATTGTGTAGGCATTGAAACCTTTTCCTGTCATCTGTTGCTATGAATGGCAAGGATGGATTGGATTGAAATTTGTGAAAGTTGCAGGGTGCAAAGAGAGTCAGTTTTACAGCCTGCCATTCGGGCAAGCTGTAGCTAGCATGTACTAGCCCACAAGTCATTTCAACTAGCCCCAAAACCCTTTTTGATTAGCAGGATTGATTACAATCCTTCTGTAATTTGAATTTCCCCAAAAAACAGCATTTGCCCGTTGGGCAAGTTAAGAAAAAAATCACTAGCCTGATAGCAAAATCCACTAGCCCAGGCTATCGGACACGACTTTCTTTGCACGCTGAAGTTGGGACAACTTTTTCAAGTTTTACTGCTATGCCTGCAAAAATCACCGAAAACATTATTAAGGTTAGTACGTGCTCCCTGATAAAAATTGCTTGATATCTTTTAAAACTGTACAGGAACAAAGGGCAAAGGCACTGAGCAATGACTTCCTCATGAATTGACCTGAAAAGTCAATACCTTGGTGACATACTGTAACACCTTTAAATCAACAGTGTCCTGTAAGCAGTGAGGACCAGTTACTGTATTTATTTGAATAAGCGTCCAACCTTGAATTAGTGCCCACCTTGAATAAGCACCCACCCCCACCCCACCCCTTGGGTGACAGTGAGATTGAAATTGAATAAGTACTAGTATAAAGAGACTTTTGTTAAGACGGAGTTTTCTTCAGAGTAGGGGTAGTTTACAGAAACATTGCTTTGTTACATCTTTGCGTTTCTTTATTACCATTTGTTGTTTTGTTGCAAAATAAACATACTACACTTGCTGAAAATGGTGAAAATCTAATAAGCACCCAGCCTCGAATAAGCACCCACCTTGAATTAGCTCCCACTCTCAAGGTCCAAAAATTTAATAAGCACCCAGGGCGGTTAATCAAATAAATACAGTATTTAAACCATTAATTGAACTTAAGGCCTCTGGATTGCAATTCCAGCACAAGTTCCAACCACTCAGCCACGGTGCCTCTTAACCCTTTGTGGTTTTCACTTATTAGGTTAAAGGATGCTACCCGTCAAGCTGATCGCATGACAAAGACCCACAAAAGTTCAGCAGACTCATTTATCAGGATCTCTTCCTGTATTTCACAAATGGGAACCAGCGAATACATGGACATAGATCGTTTTCTAAATAAGGTATTTTGGTTGTTTTATTTCTTTCTCCTATACTGTGGGAGTCCATAATGGTGGGGAAAAAGACATTTCTCTGTAAGCATTATTTTGTATGAGAGGGGTAGCATACATTGACATTTTATTTTACCTCACATTGAGATGAGCATCAAATTATTCAAGAACAAAAAATATTTGAAAAAAAAAATGGGTGAACATATTCATGCCAGTCATGAGACTGCAAGGTTGGCCTAAACATAAAGAAAAGAAAGAAGAGTTTCAGTAATATATTGAAGCTCTTCTTTTCTACCACTCAAGGTACTGATGTGCAACTTAAGAAGTGTAAATCTAACCAAAAGTACAAGGCTATGACAGAAATCATAAATATATAGATTTAGCCAAGGCTGAAAGCGAAGCTCACATTAAATCAAACAATAAACCTGTATTCCACGATTCAGTTAACTTTAGAGCACATTCATGTGACTTTTTAGGGAAAGGGTAAGTGATTTTAGAGAAAAATAATTTGGAAACAGCCCAATAGTGAACCAAATCTTACATCGAGTTGATAGCCTCCATTTTGGTTACAGCTTCCTCCCTGCTTGCACTGACTTTTTCATCTTCTTCGCTAGAACTCTCAGCCTCACTCGAATTAAAGTCGTAACAATGCTTAGAAACAAGCCAGTAAGGGCAATTCTTTTTTAATTTCCGTTTCGCTGACACAGCTTTAGCAGAAAGCTCTCTGTGGTCGTTTTCATCAACAAAACAAAATAGCAATATCGCTCTCCGCGTCTTCCGCCATTTTGTTCACGTCAATTCATGAAGTACACGTGGCTCTGAGTGTGGGTCATCCACGCGGAACACATTCGCACTATTTGATTGGCTGTTGTCTAATCCCTCTTGGGATCTGTGGTCTTAAAAATAACGTGAGACGAATTACCTATGGAATAGGGTGTGTATGGGGGATGCCTTCTCTGTCCCCTTTATCCTCTCTTGGTTTGAAACAAAGGAAAATAGAATTTAAACCAAGGTTAAAATTGAACCACAACATCTACAATAGCGGGGTGTCCATATTTCAAGTAAACAGTTGACTGTCCCAGAAATGGTTTAGAAAAGAAATCGTGGTCATTCCAATTTTTCAAAGTTTGCCCCATTTGATTTCTAGGTTGCTGAATACTTTGAGAAAGCGCGCAAGTTGGAAGGACGCGTTGCATCTGATCAAGACCTGAAAATTTCAGACCTCCTTAGATATTATGTGCGAGACACAGATGCTGCTAAGAATCTGCTGTATCGTAGAGCTCGATGTCTACATGACTATGAGAATGCTAACAAAGCTCTGGACAAGGCGCGAGCTAAAGGGAAGGAAGTTGCTGCTGTAAGTACACCTTTGCTAGCTGACTGAATTTCAAAAGGACAAATTGCACACTGTTTTTAGTGGGGAAAGATAAGCATCTTATCTCTCTGCTTACTGATCCTTAAATTCTATTTTGTTTTCCTGATTTTGTCTTTGTGTCATCTATACCTTATTTGTGTTGGAAAATATCAGACTCTCTTTTTTCCACGTTCTGCTCCATTAACGTAGCCTTCATAGCAGGTGCTTCGAAGTAATGGACGCAAGAAAGAACGAGGCGCGTGAAGGAGACACTCTCCCCTCGCTTGTGTCCCTCGCGTGCCCTGTCCTCTCTTACGTCCATTCGTCCCAAGCGCCTGCCGTGCCGGGTATATTAACAAAATGTCTCTTCTGACCTTGTCTTTTCCTTTCTGCATCCTTTAACCCTTTAAACCCTAAGATCAAAATTAAAATTCTCATTTGTTGCCCCTATTCATTTACTATAGAAGTAGTGGGGAGAAGTTGATGAAATATCAAGCAAATACATCTTGTGTGATCTTGTCCTTAATTCTCATGACCACTCTATTTTACAAAGTACTGCTATTACAAGGAGAAATTTGATGCTGACCACTCTTTTCTCATAACAATATCAATACAGAATCAAGTAGAAAGGTTATAAGAGTTAATAAAATGGTTGCTAAAGGGAAAAAGACATTATATTTAGCTCCTGGGCTGAAGTAATAATGTCAATACATTTGAACCTGCGGCATTAAACAGCCACTCTCTATTAAGGGTCCTGAAATGATTGACGAAAAGAGTTGAAAATTAAACCTCTGTCATGGGGCCACCTCTATTAATTGGCTGTATCCATCCCAACCACAGGTGTCCCAAGCTCACGTTGGGAGTGTGTTACGTAAATTAACTTTCTCACAAGAGCATCGGTGTCTGCGTTACAAGCAACCGTTGAGACTTTGTATGAGAAATAAAATACTGAGGTCTGCGAACGCTTAATATCATTATTCTTACTTATTTCTCCATAAAATAAATAAAGGAGACTTGTTTGACCCCTGTCACTTTCTTCATAATACTTAACAGCAAAAAAACCTGACTAAATCGATGAATTCACACTAAAAAACACAGAAATACATCAAAGGTAAGGTAAGTCTCCTTTATTTATTTTATAGAAAAATAAGTAAGAATAATGACATTAAGCGTTCGCAGACCTCAGTATTTTATTTGTCATACAAAGTCTCAACAGTTGCTTGTAACACGACACTGACACTCTTGTGAGAAAGTTAATTCACATAACACACTCGTAACGTGAGCTTGGGACGCCTGTCAGTGTGTCCCAATAAGAATTCTACTGAGTCCTATTGTTGTCACCTTTATTATCCTTTTAAGCCCCAATATCTAAACTCAAATTCTCCACACTAGTGTCCATACATTGCCTTATAGAATCAGTTGAGAGAACTTGATAAAGATCAAAGAACTTTTCCTTTGTTCACCATTTTGTTAATTCTCCTAACCTTTCTTCTTGATGATGTGTTGATATAGTTAGGAGAAACTTGATGTTGTTCACTCTTGGGACTTAAAGGGTTAAGTGGTAACCAAGTGTTAATACACTTGTTATGGCTTTGTTTAAAAAATACGATGAAGGACAATACAGTCTGAGAGGCGACAATTGATCATGAACAAGATATATTGACCCTGTTGGGTGTTTGTTTCAAAATAAAGTGATGTTTCTGCTAAAGATTGTGCTTATTTACAACAAACCTCAGTTGAGCCACCAACCTCCATAAAAGGACCACGTGTCATTACTCCGAGGGTGGTCGGTTAATGGACGTTCAACTGTAGTATTTGTTTGTATTCTAGTAACATGCCCTTGTAGCTTTTATGCTTCACTTGACTGTCATTTTTATCCTCATTGTCCTCTAGGCTGAAACAGCTCAGCAAGCTGCTAGTGAGAAATTTGAACACATTTCAGAGGTAGCTAAACAAGGTAAGCAAGTGCTTTAAAAAGAAAATGAAACAGCACTTTATCAAAGATAACTAGACATCTGTACATTGTCTGGGTAACTTTAAAATGGAAATAATACTGTTTTGCAATGTATGAATTTTAGTCTCTTTATATACTGGTAGTTTACTTAACTATTTGTGTGTGTTTCTCTGTTTTCTTTGTTCTTGTGTCCCTGACCTAAACATTTAAACATCTTTTCTTTTAACTGGCTGCCTGGCATTTTTAACTCTTAGGTTATTTCGGGCAGCCAGCGCCCCTATCATTGTCTGTACTATTGTTATAAATTTTTATTTTATGCATATTATGGGGTGAAATAAAGTGTTGTTGTTGTTGTTGTTGTTTTAAATTCGTTTTTGAAGTAATTTAAATCTTTGAGTATCACAAATTGTAACCAGAGACAGCGGGACACACCTAATTTCTGTCAACCATTGGTAGTTTTTTTACCGATGGGTTTAAAAATATTTGTTATCTTAGTATATTAAAGGCCGTACTTTCTGTGAATATGTGCCCTTACAGGGCTCTAATAATTAGATGCCATCCCGCTAATAAGGGCCCACAGCTTAGGCCATGATATCAATTGAGCGCCTCCCTCCCGAATATGCGCTCCTCCCCTCCACATCACTTTCTTTAATAGCAGGGATACAAAAGGAATGCGACAATCTGCAAATCATTGAAGAGGATGATCTCTAGGATGATGAGATAATTGATAAAGTCAACTCTCTCATAGCGACTACATTGAAAATAACTTTTTTGTTTCTCAGTCAAATACTGTTTTAAAAAACTCTCTAGTAAGTGACCACTTCTTAAATTTCTTATTGAAGTGACCACGACCACTTTTTCAACCAGAAATTCGACATATTCTTTTGTTTTCTATTCCTCGTAAGCGACCACCCGGCATGATCATTATGATTGTAACAGAACCACTGCTCAAATGTCATAAAAGTTCAGTTTTTAAAAGTGTTGCCCAAGCCTGCTGACAGATTATAGCAGTTGACTGGCAAAAATGATTGCTGTTATATGGTCTATAGGTAGAGGGTAGATTGTAAAGTTTCGACAGTTGCAAGCGCTGTTCGATGTGAAATCTTATTGTCGGTTGTCTGTTTTCTTACGTCTTAGTATGTTAGGTAATAACTTTATGCAACTGCGTTAATCAGTTCGTTTTGAGCTCTTTTTCTAAGTGCCTCTTTGTCGTGCACCACGGTGATGGCTTATGAGAGAGTTGACTGTACCATTCACTGTTTATTGAACAAAAGACATTTAACGTTTACCTTGATAATGTTGTAGTGTTTGCTTTTGTTTTTCTATATTAAACAGACTTTGCTAAAATAAAATTACAGTTCATTGAAAGGAAAACTTGATAAGCGCCCCTTCAGTTAAGCACCCTACTTTCAATAAATACCACCTCCCCCGTCCGCCTTTTCATGGAAATTTAAATAAGTGCCCAGGTGCTTACTCCAGGAAATACGGTAACATGAATGAATTAGAATTTTGTTTGTTTTGGGACAGAATTGACCGACTTCAAGACAAGAAGGGTTCAGCAATTTAGGAAAAACCTGGTAAGAGGAAAACAATGCACTTAAGTAGGAAATTGAGTTGATAACAAGGTACTTCAATGCCTGTTCCAGATTTAATAGACTATGAAACATTCACAGTTGTAGGCTCCCCCTAGTTTTCTTGTATTTTGACAAAAATAAAATAAGTCTTTCAGTGACTAAATATGTGGACACAAATGCTACCGGAGTTCTGCAATCAGTAAATAGTTTCTTCAGGAACCAACTTTTCCAGTGGTGGTGGTGGTGGGAGTGAACATAGGTGATTGGGGATAGGTGATTGATTGGGGCCTGTTCCAGAAGGGATGAAACATTCAGGCCTTAGGCTGCTTTTTTTGAAAAAAAAAATAAGTGGACACAAATGCTACTGGATTCTCCTCCCAGGAACCAACTTTTCCAGTGGTGGTGGTGGGAATGAACGTGAGTGATTGGGGGAAGGGATGCAAGGCCTTGGCTGCTTTTTAAATGTGCTGGATCTCCTCCTTGGATTAGTTTGAATTGGTTAGGAGTGACTTGCCTTGGGCAAAAGTGCATAAATTTTGAAGGTGAATCATTCCTAAAACTCATTTGTTTTTTAAATAGTATTATAACATAATTATTATTTTTATAATGTGAAATAATATTATAGTGCTATTAACCGATACATTTTTCCTTAGACTGAAAGAGCTGAGCTGGAACTTAAACATGCAAAGGTAAACATCAGAAATGATAACTGTTTTTTAAGCAATAAAATGAATTTGGCCAAATGAAGTGAACTATTTTCTTTGAAGAACCATTTTTCTTGTTAACCACTTTAAGTCCCAATATTGACCATCATCAATTTTCTCCTAACAATATCCATACCTTGTCAAGAGATTAGGTCATGAGAATTAATAAAATGATCAACAAAGAGAAAATATCAAATTCTTTCAACTTATTCTTAAAAGAAATGTATGGAGATCAGTTTGGAGAATTTGTGTGTGGATATTTGGGCCTGAAGGGTTCATTAAGCAATAATCGGATGAGGCTGAGTATGATCTGAAGAATTATGGGCACCGAGGAGGGTGTTGTCTGCCACGGCTGATTAGGCCTATAATGTCAAATACTCATGGTGACGTCATTTCCAAGAAAGGAAAGGATTTTATCACAGAAGACTATCTTGGGGATTCAACATTGTCATTATTCGAAATTTTCAAACAGTAATTTTCTCTAGCTGTTTACTCTTGCTTATTGATCATTGCTTATTGAAATTCGTGTTCTATCAGAAAACGTTTCTAGGACACACTTGATGACTATTCAACTCGTTTCATTTTCCTCAACAGGCACATGTCAACCTACTGAAGACGACATTAGCACAGTTGAAAGAATTGTAGTTATCACACCCGTATTAAAATAAAATTACTCATTAAGTCATGTCCTTTGTAGTAATAAATTCCAAAACAAAAAGCTGTATTTCTTCGTCAATCCAAAAATAGTTTTCGTTAAATGTGAAGAATATGATTTTTTAAATTGGTTATAACCGAAATTCATAGCATTACAACTACATAAGAGTCCTGTAAACAAGTACATTACCCTGCTTAAATCGCTCTAATTTTTATGTGAAATAATAAGAGCTTATTTTGTCAGAATTGTAGGTTTACGAATTGTTATACCCTGACCAAGTTTGCAGGTTCCTTATATTTAATTTTGCGGATGACTTGTAACAGCATCGGCTTTGTAAACGCGTTACCTGAGAATTATTTTCCCTGGTAGCGGAAGAGAGGCTTTGCTGTTAAGAAACATTGTACTGAAAAACCAGTGCTTACTTTCCGCCAAATAGAACGCCAGCTAAAATTTGGGTTTCGAGGGCGTGGTACTTTGTAGCGGAGCTATTGGCACGATGGAATTCTGGTTATATTGGTAAAAGCAGGAAAAGGGAACTATCTCTCAAAGTGTTCCTGTTTGCCAAAAGAGAAATTTTTCTTAGAAAGGAACGTTCAATCGTAGCAGTTGGTTTTTCTATACAACATGGTGCTCCTTAATCACGGTATACGTCAAAGCAATTCTTGCCTGCGAAAGGTTTCATGACACCTTCAGTAATTGACACTGCAAAGGATACCCACTCTTCCAGTGCGGGAACGGTTGTGAACAAGAGAGAATAATAATGGAACAGACAGGGAATCTTAGGGGGTTGGCCGGGATATGTGAGTTTGACTA